TATCACCTGCTTTTCTCTTTTACTACAACAGTAGAATAGAACCTCCAAAAGTCAGAAAAAGGAATAATCCGTCTGCCATGTCAAAGAAAACATGATTACTTACCCGTGTTATTAACTACTTAATCAGCTACATAATCTAAGCTTCAGGTAGCTAACGGGCATTTAGTTAGTAATTCAGTAAACTAAAACTATTCATCGATGAATTCAGAGACTTACAGGTTATATCGGATAAGATAAGATGAAAAACCGAAAAACAGTGAGTGCGAGCGTCTATTTTGTGCGATACTCCCAGCTGCAGTGCGACTTATAATATAGAAGGAAAGAGAGTAGAAGGATGGATAATGAATTAAGAATTGAAAAGAAGAGTAAATAATATAGAAGCCAAAACAAAAGAAAGTCCATAAGGAGAGTGACAGGTCGTGGAGAAGGCGGCAACCAAGACCTGTTCTAACATAGTTCCATAATAGAGCCAAAACTGCCTGTTTTTTACAGGTAGCCTTATTTGGATTTTCTTTCCTTGATAAAGGGGTGTGACCCCCCACTCTATTATATTTTTGCTTTGCTGTGTTGTGTTGTTAAATCAATACTTTGAGTTATGTGTGGTCTTAGTGTAAATCGATTCTTGTATTTTATCTTTGAAAAAATAATAGTAAGGGCAGAAGGTTAAAGAGTTTTGATGGTTTCTAGACGGAGCCAAACCATGGAATAAGACAGGCCAACATTAGCTGTACGTTTGTGCAGATGGTTGGGTTGCATTGGCGTTGGCTTCCTCTCTTTAAATTAAATCCAACCATTGCTTAGATGCCATTGCTTCCATACATATTTTGATCATCATTCCAAACAAGTTCATTTATTTCCATCTCAATTAGCTGCATTATGTATCTATTGTTGAAGCATATTGGATAAGCAACTCAAACTGATCATTTTTGTATGTCCTTTCTTCTGTTTGATTTTTGTTAAATAAGATTGAAATTTGGCAATTCTATACATTTCTTATTATTGTGAAATAAGAGGTTACTCTGTTAAGGCAAAGTGTAATAAAGTCTCTGTCCCACCACTTCTTTAGCTCTGACTTCATCCAGCTACCAACATCTAAGAAAACCAAGTTTCCAGATTCATCCCTCTCTTCTTTCTGGGCATCAGTTCTCGGTATCATATCCTGCCCTGCTCCCTCTGCTACAACCAGTACGGCATGCCCATTCTCTTTCAGCCGGTTTTCAAGAAATTCTAAAAGCCCTCCTTTCCCTTCCATGTAAAATTCAGTTTCAGGAATTAGACAGCAATCCACATCACGGCTGCTCAATGTTGCATGAAGGGCTATGTGTCCTGTGCTTCGACCCATTAGCTTCACCAGGCCAATTCCATTAACTGCACTCTCTGCCTCCACATGAGCAGCACTGATTGCTTGCTGAGCCATTTCTACTGCTGTCTGGAACCCAAATGATCTATCAATAATTCCTACATCGTTGTCAACAGTTTTTGGAATTCCAACAACTCCAACATGCAGTTTCCGTTGTTGGATTTCATTAAAAATCTGTACAGCTCCACGCATGGTGCCATCTCCGCCTATGATGTATACCTGTTCATGTTTTTGGAATGCAGCATATAGAAATATTCAATAAGCATCGCCATTACAATGAAAACATGAGTAAGACATAAAAGGGCATTACATCCACCAAACCTTCGTTTGTGATTCTATTCTCTAGCATGCATATAGTATTTAATCAAGAGTTGAGACGCAGCAGATAGTTCATGCAACAAATATCAAGTAATGGGATCATCAATTTCAACCAGTTTTCAGTTCTTGAAGAAAGCACTTGAGACCTTATCAACAAATCTGAATATCACACAGAGCAGGCAATAAAGGAGCCATAATAACTACACGAAACAAAGTCATTCTTTCTACAGTACTCGGTGCAAGACAAGATAATTGGAACCAAAGGCCAGGGGCAGACCCTCCACCAATATTAGCATAAACAAAGCTTTCATTTTGATACATACGCCAGCGGATAATTCTATTAGAAAAAACTTTTTACTCCATTGAGGTTTCAAAACAAAGGTAATCTTCCTTTAATACGTTAGCTATTGATGGATTTCTTGAGTGATGAAAGCACTTTGACTAGAGTTTTTATGAACCACAATCCTTAATTGAATGAGCGACACATAAGTAATTCGTAAATCTTGGATTTGAATTCTTTCTTTGACACTTATTCCCAAAAGGTCATACAAAATCGCTTTAATGTTAACATTCTTCAACTTATGAAAGACACAAATGAAAAGACTCAGATGCTTGCCAAAGTGTTTCAGAAAAGAGTTCCAAAACAAGAGGGCACCAGGATTCCTGTTTGTACCATTTATTTAAGCTTTAACTCTTATGATTACTTTGTTTTCCTAAATGCCAAAATCAATACTGCAGCAGAATATCAAAATATGTGCATGCAAACATCAGAACAAGACTGCTTTAAACTTCACTACATGTGTAGAATAAAGTACATAACAACGTAGATGAATTCACACTCAAGAAGTTGCTGAGTCTCTTCTCAAGATTCCTAAGGGACATGGAATGTGTTGGGGAAATGATGTACATTTAATTTTTGTCAATCAAGAATAAATTTTATTCAAGTTGTTTGGTCTGCTTAACGCAAACGGTTGTGATTTGTAATTTATTGAAACAGTTGCAGCAAGTCCCAAATCTGAAGTAGATATAGTGAATCAATGACTTGATCATGTTCAGAGAAGCAGAGGTGATAAAGAAAATCAAACTAAGTTACAATGTTCAAGTGCGATGATGGGACGACATATATAAACTTATTGCTAATTAATCTTATCAAAAGGGCAAAGGGATGTCATCTTGCATATCAAAATATGAAAATAAAACCTCCAAGAATATGAAAAAACCAGACAACATTAACTACTGCGTTTCAAAAAGAAAAAGGGAAGATTAGCGCAATTTACACAAAGAAATAAGTTAAAGGCAGTGTAACTAGCAAATAGCAAAGCAGTTCCATGCTTTGCCTTATAATTGGAACGGTTCTTTCCAATTGTTCTTAATAGTTTTCAACATTTTTTTAGTCAGAAAAAGAAAAGAAAAAAAAAAGTAAAAGGGACAATACTGATTATAAAACAAAGTAAAACACATTAAGCAGAAAGTAAAGGTAATCGGTACCTGATTAAATCCATGGTGTTGAATAGCATCAACAATCTTTTTGAGATCAAAACCACCCCTAGAGGTCTCGAGCACAGTGCCACCTCTCTTATGCCATTTATGCACCATCTTAGGACTCAACTCCACAGGCTCCCTGGAATAAAATCCTCTGTACCCAGCTTGAATCCCATAAATTTGTCTCACACCATACAGCTCCCACAACCCCACCACTAGCTCCCTAATCACAGTGTTCATCCCAGGACACAGTCCACCGCATGTAACAATGGCAGCCCGGGTAGTTTTGGGGTCATAGAAGATCTGCTTACGTGGACCAGCTCTAAGATAAGCCACGGGAGGAGAGGGAGGAGAGAATGTCCCAGAGAGATCATAGGCTATCTGACGCAGAATGATGTCGGTATGTGTTATGTAAAAACCATCTGAAGGGTGAAAGAAACTATTTTGATCAAGTGGGTTTGTGTAAGTGTTGGGGTTAGAAACGTAATCAGCTAGGTGAGAGATGTTTCGAAGGTTTATAGAAGAGAACGATAAATTACTGGGTTGTTGATGAGTGGTGAGATTGGTGGCTTCCGGGAGTGAAAGAGCCATGGTTTTTACAGTGAAACAAGCAAGGAAGGTGACATAAAGGGGTTTTAATTCGCTTGTAAATGAAGCTGAAGATAGGAACCCAGATGGTTCTGCTTGTGTGCGTGGACGTGGAGGAAGGAGAGGGAAAAACGTGGAATGATGCATGTGGGAAACATGTTTGTTACTTGTTAGCATCCTACTATACATGATACATATCTTAAGATACGATTCGATACGGATTGGATCGTCAAAAAGTGTATCATAAATCTTTTAATATATTGATATATATTATCCAATACGATATATATTCATTTGTATCCTTAAAAATATAAATATAAATCGATACAACTTTATTAATTTCGGTTAAAAGTCCAAACAAAATTTTAAGTCAAATCCCAATCACCCAACCCGATTCACTAAAACTTACCTAAATTTATCTATTTTGCATAGAGAAAATGAAAGAAATATGTATTACCTATTTTGTATGATAATAATAATATAAGTAGAGTTATAGATATTCACATTGATATTAGAAATGATATGAATGATTGAGAGAAAATGATATAGATTCTTAATTTTGTGATTAATTTTAATTATGTAATATCATAGTTTAAAGTCAATAATACCACAAAATTTGTTAATTATTTATGAGATGATATTAATTTTTTTTAAATTATTATTTTATTAATTTTAAAAAAAAAAATGTATTTTATGATGCGATGATGCGATACACTGATACGCGATTTGGAAAATTAGGATTTTGATTGACGGTTTGACAATGACGGTGGGAAAGTGTTGAAACTGAAAGAGACGCAAAATCTGACCATTTGTCCGCCAAACAGGCCCTGCAATCTCTTTGGCCCTTTTATGTTTACGTAATCCATTTTATTGGTTCGGTCTGGGCCGGGAAAGCAAACACCGCTACTGTTGTTGCTACAATTCGCTGGTTCCATTTTCTTTTTCTCAACATACAATCAATTATCACATAGTAAAAAGTTAATTAATTTTTCACAGAGAATGAATTTGCAAAAGGTTAATGGCAATAAGAAAATCTGTATTGATTAGAACCGTAGCATCTAGCCATCTTCATTGTATAAAATTTTCTTGACTTTGGATCTCTTCAATCTAAATAAAATTAACACTCTTATTAGTGAAATTGAATTCATTAGCGAGGTTATTGCTTGTTTGCCTCATGGCTTTAGATAATCGTTTACCCTGCAATTGCAAGGTCCACTGAAGATTGACATGGAGAAGTTTCAGAGAAGCTTTATAGTAACCAAGCACATGATCAGTGGGATTTAGATTCTTTTATAAAACTAATAATCTCTCTGGAAATACAAAAACTAAACTACATTACAGGTGCTCCCGGAGAACAATAGTAAGTAGTAGGCAGAGAAAGATAAATGTGAATTTGTAGGGTAGGTGGGTCGGTAAGACTCGTAATTAATTAGACTTGACTTCTGCAACACTCATAAGTTCCGTATGCCCAACCTTCTTCCTCAAGCTGGTAGCCAATTTAACAGCATCAACTCCATCTCCAATCACCACCACTTTATCTTTCTCAGCTCCTTCTAATGCCAGGAAGTTAACACCTGCATGCATTACCATTAATCTTATATTAATTCTTTATCTAAAAATTATTACCAATTACTGTCATGAAACATTAATTACCGTCTGCGTCTGCAGCGACCTGGAGTGCCTGAGCCCGACATTTCTGGCAATTCATCTGTACCTTCATCACAATCTTTTGCTGAAACCACCACAAAACCATATATAGTTATTTTTTAATCAGTATATGCATTACTAGAATATTATGCAATAAGCCAAGACAAATTACAAGGTAATTAGATACACGTACCTTCATATTGTTTCCTCAAATTATTCCTCTTGAAGTTGAATATTCGTTTGTTGGATTGGGGAATAAGAATATAGAACGAGGAACTACTTCTTACTTGGAAAACGCTAATGTTTTGAGTGTGAAGACACCAAAACCCTGCTTATATACTCGAGTAACTCAAATTAAATGGTTGCGTGAATCTTAAGAAATTTGTGTTAATTTTTCTGCCATGGATATTCACATCAGCTGTTTCCTAGAACATTCTATGTAGACCGCGTCAATATCAAGTGAATGCATCATGAAATACGAAACCATTCTTTGACAATGTGTGCTTCAAAATTGGCTAGCTGTTCTCCTCTTGGGTTATTAGAAATTAAAAAAAAAAGACTCTCAAGTCTTGGTCAATCGCCGAGTTTTTCAAAAGTCGATTTAACAACAGTAATTAATTAATATAGTTCAAACGGCAGTAAATACATAGAATGATTACTTCAACTGAATCCCATTCTTTTTTTGGTTACCAACTGAAACCCATTCTTTACGACTTACTAGATCGTATATATAATCCAAAATATGTGTATGGCAAAGTCAATTTCAGTCAGCTGGAAGAAGGTACAACTAATTAAGGAAATCCTTGGACAATAATAATAACCAAAGCTGAAACTTGAAAGTAATTAAGCATATTGCATAGGTGGTGACGACAAGCTTATGTTTGTATCCATGGGTTCATTAATACAATAAAAAAACGACTTCTCTGGTGGTAATTATAGATAGCTAGAGTGTTGGATAACAATCCCTATCACTGATTTGATTCAACACTATAAGCTACCCCCACCCAGTGGCGGATTTACTTAATGACGAGTGGGGACCATGGCCCCCACTCAAACTTTAAAAAACTTACCGATTGTATAGGGCATGTTTGGCTTATTATTTTTATCCATATTCTCAATCTTATTCTCTAAATAATATTTGGCATATTATTTCAGAAATATTACCCTATTTTTTAATTATTTTTAGACTCCATAAGGTTATTAATTTCATCAAATACACCCTGAAAAAAAAAGTTTAAAAATTATCAAAAACACCCCCACGACCCATACTTGCCATATTCCGGCAACCACCGTCGGTGGTAGCCGGAATCTGTACAATAGCCTACCTGCCAACTAGAAATGGCTGAAATCTCACTGATCTGGCCGCAAACGACGACCAAAGAAATGGCTGTCGTTGAGGTCAACGACGGCCAAAGATGGTCGTTGTTTTGGCCTTTTCTGGCTGTCGCGGCCACAACAGGCCGTAGATCTGATGATCTGGCCGAAAAAGGCCATAACGATGTGTTACGACACAGATCCGACTGGTCTGTGTCGTAACACGATTTTCTGGCCAGATTCCGATGGTAGTGGCCGGAATCTGGCATTGTAGGTGGTAGGGGTGTTTTTGTCATTTTATATATTAGGGTATTTAGTTAAATTAGCAAACCTATGGGCTTTTTCATAAATTTTTAAATTTTACCTCGTAATACTCCCCTATCCAATTACCCAATATTATTCTCAAAATCCTATCCAAAATAATAAACCAAACGAACCCATAGATATTTATATTTAGTTGCATTTTACCCCTTATAAGACTTTGACATTTTGCCCCCACAAATTTTTTTTGTTTATTTTTTACCCCCATCGAGTGAAATTTCTGGATCCACCAGTGCCCCCACCAACACTAAATGATCCCTTTCATAGCCACATGTCTCACAAGTAGTGACAAAACCCTTCTTAAGAAGATGTGTCTACCTCTAGGACAAATGGTTGGTTTTTAGAGGCATTGTCCAGTCTTGGGACTTGCATAATTTTATCCTGAAAAAAAAAGTTCCTGAGTCTCTTACCAATGTCCAGTCCGAAGGGCTTGGGAGTCCTATGCCCCGGGGACACATTCTAGGTGAGTTTTAAAAAATTCACAATTTGTCTTAAAAATGTATATTTGGGTGGGTGAGAATGTCATTATGCTAAATAAACAATCAAAACCTCTGGGTAGTGAAGGTGTCATTAATTAAATAAACGATCAAAACTCTCGTCTTTTAATCAATATAAACTTTGACACCAACATATTAATATAATATCTCTGCTGGTTCTATGTTAAAATTGTACGTCATTTATTGTAAATATAAGAGTAACACTACACTCACTAACACTTCTCACTAACATCATATGTCGCTCACAATTCATCAATTACATAGGACCCGTCTGTCTAATAATAGGTCGAACCTCCCAAGATAATGACAAACTCCCACATGAGATTAGTGAGAGGTTAGTGAAGGGATTAATAAGGTTAGTATTATGGTAAATATAACATACCAATGTCATCAGCTTGCTTCTGCACTTGCATTCCTAAATATATGAGAAAGGAAATATGCTGAGATTAATCATAATATAATGAGATAATTATCTTGAAACAGAAATGCACAGATTGAAGTCACTGCATGCAGTTGACTGATAGATGTACCATATGCATATATCATAGACTTCTCAAAAACATATGCCTCAACAAAAGTTATGATTAGTTGTTTTCCGATTCCCTGAAGGAAGACCGCTGTCATGATTAAAGAAAAGAGGTCAACAATATATACCTTTTTGTTTAGTTTAATAGCATTGCACAAAAGAGAACAGCAATTAATCTATATATAGATGTAGTTTACTGATGATGATTTAGATGATTCGTGAGGCACCCCGGGCTGAGAATAGAGTAGAAAGATTGACAAGGCCTGCATGACTCCCTTCACGCCAAGTAGGAAGATTGCCACACTCTTTGACAAATTCTTATATGGCATTCAGGGAGCCAGGCGAACAAACACTCCCACCCACTAACTCACGTTGCTTTCAACTCTTAACCCTCCTCAATCTGCATATTAAATTCATTCAAATAAACCAACTGTGTGCACCAAAGCAATTAAAAACACTATCACCTGCTTTTCTCTTTTTTACTACAACAGTAGAATAGAACCTCCAAAAGTCAGAAAAAGGAATAATCCGTTGCCATTCAAAGAAAACATGATTACTTACCCTTGTTATTAACATACTTAATCAGCTACATAATCAGTAAGCTTCAGGTAGCTAACGGGCATTTAGTTAGTATTCAAGTAAACTAAAACTATTCATCGAATGGAATCAGAGACTTACAGGTATATATCGGATAGAAGATAAGATGAAAAACCGAAAAACAGTGAGTGCAGAGCGTCTATTTTGTGCGATACTCCCAGCTGCAGTGCGACTTATAATTATAGAAGGAAAGAGAAGTAGAAGGATGGATATATGAATTAAGAATTGAAGAAGAAGTAATTAATATTAGAAGCCAAAACAAAAGAAAGTCCATAGAAAGGAGAGTGACAGGTCGTGGAGAAGGCGGCAACCAAGACCTGTGCTACAATAGTTCCATAGATAGAGCCAAAACTGCCTGGGTTTTACAGGTAGCCTTATTTGGATTTTCTTTCCTTGATAAAGGGGTGTGACCCCCCACTCTATTATATTTTTGCTTTGCTGTGTTGTGTTGTTAATCAATAACTTTGAGGATTGTGTGGTCTGTAGTGTAAATCGATTCTTGTATTTTATTCTTTGAAAAAAATAATAAAGGGCAGAAGGGTTAAGAGTTTTGATGGTTTCTAGACGGAGCCAAAACCATGGAAATAAGAAAGGCCAACATTAGCTGTACGTTTGTGCAGAGTGGTTGGGTTGCTTGGCGTTGGCTTCCTTCTCTTTTAAATTAAATCCAACCATTAGCTTAAGATGCCATTGCTTCCATACATATATTTGATCATCATTCCAAACAGTTCATTTATTCCATCTCAATTGCTGCATTATGTATCTATTGTTGAAGCATATTGGATAAGCAACTCAAACTGATCATTTTTGTATTGTCCTTTTCTTCTGTTTGATTTTTGTTAAATAAATTGAAATTTGCATATTCTATACATTTCTTATTATTGTGAAATAAGAGAGTTACTCGGGTTAAAGGCAAAGTGTAATAAAATGACTATCCGGGCCGGGCCACTGAGGTACTGGTGACATTAATGATTGTAAATGGCTGGATCACCAGGGTTACAGGTGATAGCCGCTTCTGTATTTATGAAAAAAATCCGAATAAAAATTATGATTTGAATTCTATCTTTTGCTATGCGTATTAATAACAAGAAGAAGAGTTGATCAACGTGGGGCAGAAAAGAAAAGAAAAATCTAGCATACGATTGATTGGACAACAGTTCCCCAGATTTAAAACTTTAATGGTGTCTTTTCTGCAAAATTTCAAACCTGGCACTGGTCCATTGGGGGTCCACTTACAATGACCAAACATTAATTAAACGCATATCACTTTGACCAGTCCTCCACTCCAATCAATTTTTCCATCTTTACTTACTTGGTTCAGAAGGAGAATTCTGGAAAAATGAATGTTTCTTTGCTGTTGTTTTTGCACATTTATCTCAAATGTGAGCTAGAACAATATATAGGAGAAGGTATGGTGAGACATTCAATACAAAACATCAATTACATAGTGGGTTTAAGCCTTGTGTAAGGCCGGAATAGCTCTAGCCCAGGATGTTTCATTTTCATTCACATTCACTGCCTGCTGCCTCCATTGTACTTCATCAGAGGACATGTAATATTGCTTCAGCTGCCAACACTAGTAAAATTTTTATGGCAGTGACTGGCTTTGTCCCGAATAGCTTGTTTTCACCAATCCTATATCCATATACACCACATTTTGCAAGATGGTGTCTTCTTTGAAGCACTTTACAGTTGTCCTTTCCTGGGTTAGCAGCTCCCTCCTTTTAGAGGTGAAACAAATGGGCCGACCCGCATTAGAGAGGGTTTCATCGTTGAACCCAATCCGCATGCAAACCCTTGTATGGGTCGGATTACTATATGGCAACCCGCACCTAGTGATTGCTATTGTTTACAATAGCCAACCAGCGGGTTGGCCCAAAACAAATTTTAAAAAAAAAATTAATCTTTTTTTTCAAGTTCCCCCATTTTTATTCTTTTAATTAAACTATTATTTGAACTCTACAAATAATTTTACACAATAATATTAAACTATACTTTAAATCATAAATATTAAAATGTATAAAACTTCGTAATATTTGACACATTGTTATTATTATTTTTATGGTACGTAAATATAAAAAAAAAAATATATTGAAGTCTTATTCTTAAATTTCCATGTCTTGTATAAAATATAATTCATTCTTATGCTAAATTTCATCACTTGAATGAATAAATCTAATTTTTATATATTAC